CTTTTTCCTCTCACTTCTTTGTTTCTTCTTGTTTCTCTTACTGGCTGACATCAGTTTGCCTCTCCCCTTGAGACTGCCCTTGGAGTTCAGGGACTCCGTGACTCAGCACCAGTTCCTTCTATTTTTCAACTCAGCTTCTGACCCGGCCTCCATGCTTGTGTAGCCCATCATCTCAAAAGCTTCCCAGGTGGCCAAGGGTTTGCATTCCTTTTTAGGCAATTCACACATCTCCATTTCTTTAGAGATAGTCAGTGGAGCCATCCTAATTTCCTTTGTGTCATGTTTTCTTGAGGGTCTGTTTGTTGCATAGCCTTGAATGAGCATCTGCATGCTGAGAGAGGAAACACCTTCAGTCTTCTGGACCTGTCTCAGTATGTGACAGCTTTCTTCTGGGGCTCAGTCCTTCTGGAGTGGCCTCAAGAATTGAGGCCTCAGAGGGTGCAGCTTCTGGGGCCTCATCTGATGAGCTGATTGGTTACCAGGAAGCTTGATGAATGTGGCACCTGTTTGATCCCTGGGGAGAATGGACTCTGTCTCCTAGGCTGGTGAGTAGGGGTGGTGTGGAGCGAAACAGCAAAGGGCTTGTTCTCAGAAGTGTGGACACTGGTGGCTTCCTCCAGGTGTCTGAGAGGGCTCGCACTAGGTCTCAGGGAGGGATCCTGTGCTGAAAGTATTGCACAAAGATCGTGTCTAAAAGGGGCTAGAAGGCCTTAGCACAGCTAAATGTTTTCCCCTCCCTGTGGTGGAGGTGGTGGTGGTGGTGGTGGTGGTGGTGGTGGTGGTGTGTATGTGTGTGTGTGTGTGTGTGTGTGTGTGTGTGTGTGTGTTTGTGTGTATGGGGGGGCATGACTGTCTGAAAGCCTTGCTACAGGATGGTGGCCTTTTATGAAGAAGATTCTTAATTAATTTATCAATTTTTAAATTGCTACTTATCAATTTTTACTGCAGTGGGGTTTTATTGTTTGGTTTGGGAGTCCTTTCTCCTTCCTTCCTTCCTTCCTTCATTTCTTTTATCTGCTGTACATGTTTTGAAATAACTTCTCACTGTATAGACCAGGCTGGCCTCGAACTTTCAGTGATCCTCCTGACTCTGTCTCTGAGTGCTGAGATGAGAATTGTCTTTTTAAGACGATACATTTTAATGCTTGGTTCCCAGTTGATGGAACTGTTTGGGAAGGATTAGGAGGTGTGGCTTTGCTGGAGTCACTGGGGACAGGCTCTGAGGTTTCCAAAGCCCACACTATTCCCAGTTAGTTCCCTTTCTGTCTCAGGTTGTTGTCTCAACATGGAAACTCTCAGCTACTGCCTGCCTGTCTGCTGCCATGCTCCCCACAATGGTGGCCATGGGCTCACCCTCTGGAACTGGAAGACCCAAATTAAATTCTTTCTTTTATAAATTGCCTTGGTCATGGTGGCTTGTCATGGAAATAGAAAAGTAACAAAGACATGGAATTATGGGTGTGTACCACCCACCAAGGCTGGTTTTTATTCTATTTGTATTTATTTTACTTTTAAATTTAGTTAATTAACTAATTGATTTTGTGTGTTTATGATGTACCTGTGTGTGTGTGTGTGTGTGTGTGTGTGTGTGTGTGTGTGTGTGTGCCACTGTGTGTAGGTCAGAGAACAACCTTGGGTCATTTCTCACCTAACCCTTCATTTTGAGATAGGATCTCTTGTTCACTGCTGCCTTCTCCAGGCTAACTGCCCACAGGCTTCCTGGGTCCTCTTGTCTCTGCTTGGGATTATAGACACTTGCACTATGCATATGGCTTTTCCATGGGTTCTGGAGATTTGAACTCATGTCATTAAGCTTACAGGGCAAGCACTTAACCCATTGAGCCATCCGCAAGTCCATCTTCCATGTTTTTTTAAAAGGCCTTTTCCTTTTGTTTTTATTCATCTCACTGGGTAGGAGACTAATCCTGCTTCCCTTTATCATGTCTGCCCCAATTCCAGCTTGGCTAGCCTTGGCATCCCTTAGCAAACCCCACTGCAAGTGATGTCTATTAAAGCAGAGAGCGGAGTGTGCCTGCCATCCTTCGGCAGCTTCTCCTCTTGAACCTGAGCAAACCAGGAGCCAAGGTGTCTTTGGCAGCACCAGGCCTACGACAGGGGACAGAGGTGGTAAGTCACAGATGGTGGGACACCTGGCCATGCCCCCCCGCTTCCGTGCTCTGGCTGTGTTGCCAGAACATTCTTTTTTATGCTTTTGCTTCCATAGAATGAAGTGGAGCATGGGCAGGCACAGTGCAGCCCTAGCTTTTGCGCATTTATAAAACGCCTATTTATGAAAAGTCATTCAGTGCAGGATTATAATGGGGCTGACAGGCTCAGGTAGAACCCATTAGGCTCCCAGCTCTGCTTCACTGTATCTGCAAGCATTCTGCAGATTTCTCTTTAACCAAGAAACAGAACTTGGAGAGTCCCTGTCTAGTCTCCAAGCCTCTGGCTGTTTTTCTGTGGGCAGCTCGTGTGAGCAGTAAGAACACAAGGCCTGCAAAGTGCTTCCCACTGGGCTTAGCCAGGACCAAAGTGTGAGGGTGACTCCTGTCAACCTGATGGACTTTGGAGTCAATGAAGAGACACACTGTGGGGACACCAGACCTTGAGCAGAAACCCACTTCCCCTTCGGCCTGGGAGCAGGCATCTATGTAATGTTTACTGAAAACAATTCAGTGCTTTAAAGCTTGATAGGGCTCAGATAAGGGCTGGCTCACTGAAATACCATGCCTTCCACACCTCCTATGGCTAGATGCCTCTTCCTGCCCCCTGTGGTGTCTCCCCGATTCTGGGGCCGGAGATTAAACCACCAGCCAGGAGGGTGAGAAGTGGAAAGAATGGTATGTAAATGGATGGCAAAAGTCCTTAAAAAGGGAAGCCCTTTTTCTTGGAGAGACTTCTCCTGAGATTTCGCCTGAGAGCTCTCCTAAGCGGACTGGGGTCTCCTCCTAAGCTGACTTGGGAAATATAAAGTTTTCTTAAAGCAACCGACCGGTCTCTGTGTCATCTATCCCGACCACCTCGCTACATTCTCGGATGCAGGCCGCACAGCAGGTGTGACAACACACCTCTGGGTAGATTTGTGAGAACATTCCCTGGAAGGATTAACCGAGTGGGTGAAGGCCCAGAGTGGGCGGCGATGTCCAGCAGTAGCCCAGATGTAAAGAGGGCCAAGGAAAAAGTGGCTGCTTTTGTGTGCCAGCCTTCACTCCTAGCTGGTGAGTGCATTTTCTACTCCTCCCTCCTCCCCTCCCTTCTCCTTTTCAACTATTGTTGCTGCTGCTATTGCCTCTGCCTCTCTGCCTCTCCCTGACACAGGAACCTAGCTTCTTGAGCTTTTCAATGTGGCTCTCCAGGAATCCCCTAGATTGGGACTACCAAGGCACCCAGCCTTGCGGACTGAGCAGTTGGCTCCCAAGTTCTCTGCCTTTCTGGTGTGCAGTGGCTATTGTTAGACTGTGTGTAAGTCAGTCTGGTGGGTCCCTCTCTAACACATTCATTGTTTGGTTCTGTTCCTCTGGAGAACCCTGCCCAGCATAGTCAGGTGAGCTTGACAGCTTCTAGATCAGTGCTTCTCAATGTTCCTAATGTTGTGACCCTTTAATACAGTCCCTCACCGGGCAGTGGTAGCGCACGCCTTTAACCCCAGCACTCGGGAGGCAGAGGCAGGCGGATCTCTGTGAGTTCAAGGCCAGGCTGGACCGGCAGCCTCCAAAACAATACAGAGAAACCCTGTCTCGTAAACACCCCCCAAAAAAGAAAAAAAATACAGTCCCTCATGTTGTGCTGATCCCCCAACCACAAAATTATTTGTGTTGCTACTTCATAACTATAATTTTGCTACGGTTATGAATTTTGATGCAAATATCTGTGTTTTCTGATGGTCTTAGGTAACCCCTGTGAAAAGGTCATTAGAACCCCCAAAGAGGTCATGACCCATGGGTTGAGAACCACCGCTGTAGAACAAGACTTAGAAATGCATCCCTTAGCTGTACCTGTGTTCGTTGTTAATTTACAGTATTTATGGATAATTGCAGACATGGACAAAACAAGCAGGAAATGAGGCCTGCAGACCCCAAGGCTATGCCCCATTACAGCTGCTAACCTCCCTCACTCCAGATCTAGGTGTCCCTCAACTCTAACCCAGGGGACAAAGGGTCCATTCTTTCCACCTGTCCTGTCCACATGAGTGTCATCCTCACTCACACTTCCCCCAACTAGGAATGCTAGCTAGCAGCTCTTTCTGTGTCTGCTGCTGAGGTAGACCAGATGTCCTTCTGGCTCTCTGGGGGGCATCCAGGCTCTGCTTCTCAGAGGTGAGGGCCATGCCTTTCCCTGGGATCTCCCCAGGCTCCACCCAGTGCCCAGCCTTCAATGAGAGCTCACCCTTTCTACTTCCCAAGCCCCCTCCCAGTTCTGTATACCACCTTCATCTATTCAGAGGTGAAAGAACGTGGTATAGCAGAGCGTGCTGAGCTGGTATGGTCAAGAAGCAGAGAGTGGTGACAGAGAGAACCGAGCTAGGGCAAGAGACACTTTTGAAAGATGTGCTGTCCTCCATGACCTACTTCCTCCAACCAGGCCCCACCTTCTCCCTTTCCCCACCTTCCAATAATGCTGTCAAGTCACAAACCCACCTACAGAGGAGTCTATTGATGAGATCTGGCCTCAGGCAGACACCTTCTTATAGACCCTCATCTGCAGCCAACCATATGAGTCCAGGTGAAAGATTTCTTACTTAAACCTTGACAGATGTCATGTGCTTGTTGCTTGTCTGCTTGAGCACCAAAGGAATGGGGATCATCAGTTTTTAAAATATATACTTATTATTTTTATGCATGTATGTGTGTCTGTGTGGATATGTGCATGTGTGAGCTCATTGTCCACAGAGCCAGAAGAGAGCATTGTATCGCCTGAAGCTGGAGTTACAGGTGATTGTGAGCTGTCCGAAGTGGGTTCTGGGAATAAAGCTCCCATTCTCTGGAAGAGCAGCAAGAGCTCTTACCTGCTGGGGTCATCTCCACAGCTGTAAGGGACTCTTTTGGTCTCTGCTCCATCTCTGTCACCTGAAAGGGCCACAGGGTACATAGTAGGTTTTCAGCAAATATGTATAGAATGAATAAGGTCCTCTGAGTCACATGGTTCTGTGTAATAACTTGGATTCTGACAGGCAGTCATCAATAACATTGTATGAATACACACAGGGCAGGGGGATGGGAGAGGAAGAGATAGAGAGGTATGGGGGGAGGCTCACACAGTCATCTAGTTAATTGCATCTGGTGATGAACCAGGAGCAGGCTCAGGACTTCCATCCATGGCCTAATCAAAGCTTGCCTTCCTTAACCCCATTGCCCATCCCTCAGGATGATCCCCACCCAGAACCAGATTCCCACAGGCTGATGCACAGGGAATGAAACTTGTAACAGAGGCTTCATTTCAAAGCCACCACCCAGATCTTTGCTGGATGCTGCAGATATTTCCTTTTTCTGGGCTATTTCTATTCTCACCTTTTCTTTCATCAGTTCATGTTTTGAGTAGTAATGTGGCCAAGAATTTATAAAAAGAAACTGGGCAGAGAGCAAAGTCCTACAGGTGAGTTGTCTGAATCTCAGGCAGAGTTGCCTTGCTTGTCTTTGAGATTGGCTCTCCTGCTCTTAGTGCCCTGTGAACAGCCTTGGGCCAGGCTACCTGAGAGTAAGCAACTCACAGCCTGCTGTCCCTTTGTCCCAACTAATGGGAAGGTTCCCAGACTCGTTTGCCACAAGGCCCACACCAGCTGGCCACAGGCAAGGTTGGGAGCTTGGCTGAGTTCAGTGGGCCCTGTCCCAAACCACTAGCCTTTCCAAGCTAACCCCAAATATGAGACAAAAATGACTGGAGAGGAAGTCAATAGACGTGGAGGTTGACTATGTAGTTGAGGACGACCTTGAACTTCCCATTCTCCTGCCTCCACCTCCCAAATTCTGGGGTTACAGGCATGATGCACACCATTGCAGCGAGACCCTCCACCAGTTGAGTTGCTCTCCTGCCCCATCCACTCTTTTTTTTTTTTTGGTTTTTCGAGACAAGGTTTCTTTATATTGTTTTGGAAGCTGTCCTAGAACTCACTCCGTAGACTAGGCTGGCCTCGAACTCACAGAGATCCTCTTGCCTCTGCCTCCCTAGTGCTGGGATTAAAGGCATGCGCCACCAATGTCCGGCCTCCCATCCACTCTTTTAAGCCAGTAAAAGATTGAAGGGAAGTCAAGAAGTCTAACCGTACACCCTAGAGCACTCTGGAGGCAGTTCCTCTCCAGAAGCTGATGCAGGGCACCTTCTCTATTCAGGTAGGACTGAGCTGTGTTCTGGTATTTATAGAGTTACTGCATGCTCACAGTGTCGGGGCATCCAGTCTGTCTAGGCTGACAAACAGCTGTGTGGCTCCATGCAGCACTGCACTGCTGCCACCCCCAGGGATCTTGTCTGGGAGAAGAATTGCTGGACCCCGAGCTTCTCCCCTGGACAGCCTGTGATAACATCAAGCAAAACTTTGCCAATTGTGAGCTGAATACATCAGTATCACAAGACTGGCCTCATTTTCATGTCTCTGAGCATCTTTGAGATGCCTGTTGACCCATTTGTTCCCTTCTGGGTGAATTCATATCCTTTGGCTCTTTCCCCATCTGGTTATCTTTTCTTATTGACGAGGTCTGTTGTATGGCTTCTCAGCACCACAGGAAAGACCTCTCTGATCATGGGACGGCTGCATGCTGGAGGCTCTCATGATTAGATCACAGGCTGGCTCAGTGCCAGGCTCCACACATCTGAACCCATGTGGGGCTTTGATTGGCAGCTTCACTTTCTCTACCAAGAGATGGATCCAATACACATGCTCAGGTAGAAAGGTACTAAATCTTGCTGTCATTTGAAACTTAAGTGTCACCCAAAGACGCAGCTTGGCACCACTGCAGGATGGAGGAGGCTTAAAGAGGAAGGTTCTAGTTGGAGATTGCTAGATGGTTGGGATGTGGAGGGACCGTGGGACCCCAAGCCCATCATCTTCTTTTGTTTCCTCCTCACTTTGCTTCACCACACACACACACTGTGACAGGTCATCTCAGACCCCAAAGTCCCCGAGCCATCTGACCATGGCCTGGGCCCCCAAAGTTGAACCAGCACAAACCTGCTCTCTTCATAAGTCAATCACCTCAGGACTGTGTTACAGTGATGGTGAGCTGACGGTGCTCTCTACATGGGCACACCTGTAAATGGGCCCTGACTTGGGGAGGCATCAGGGCTACTGAAGCACACATCTGTTCTAAGAGTGGGGAGACTGGGCATGACACCCTCAAAAACACCAGCATGGGGCTCCACACTGGTCCTCACATTGGGAAGGGATGATCTGGAGAGGGTGAGAGGCTGCACAGCTTCTGGAGGCCTGATCTGGGGCGCGAGCTCCGAGCTCTGGAGCAAGGAGGGTTTGGGAAAAGAGGACTCTGGTCCAGCCTGCACTTCCCTCATCAGCCAAGCCAATAATCGATACAGACACATAATGAATTCTGGGCATCAATATTAATGTTGATATTTTACATTAATAAACCTACCCATCATCTACCCCTCATACACACACTCCCTGTTTCTGGTGGTCCCTGCTTGCTACAGATTAGTAATCAATTGAAAGTCTAATTTGGAGAGAAGCCAGTAGGCAAATTTTTCACTAGACAGCAGATAAGTAACTTTTCAAGATGGGATTGGTCACAACTAATCACCCAGGCCTCCATCTACATCTCTGGAGCATTAGACAGTCAAAGCCACAGACCTAGCCAAGGTCATAGACTTAAGTGGCACAACCATGTAACATTTGTCCAGGACATGGCAGGCTAAGGACACCCTTGCAGAAGACAGACCGGGATGGACAGATGTCTTGGGCAGACAGGAGGACACTGTTAGCATCTTCCTGGGACCTACTTGGCCAGTTTATGGTTTTGAGGATAAATGCAAAGGAACTTTGATACGCAGGACACTGGTGTCTTATACACTGTCACAGGACAAAGTCTGTGGAGAAGGTAGACAGAACATTATTGGCCAAGGACTCAACCTGATAGCCCAGCCTTGGCTGGCATGGAAACTGCATGGTCCTCTCACAGCCACTCAGAGCCCTGGGGGAAAGTGTCCTTGAGATATGCACCCTGCAAGTGTGGGATAGAGGTAGACTGTGGCTTATTTTTCTCATTTATCCAAGAAGCTATTTTTGCTCATTAAAACCTAGTTACTTGCTGTCTCTAGCCAGGATCCTGGAGTGCTCGCTTGGTTAATTTAAGCAAGCAGAGATTTGACGGAGTAATTTCATTGTCCTTGGGGATTGGCCGGCTGATGCCAAGCCTCACTCTTCCCGTTGGAATGGAGTTAATTTTCGCTGAAATTGCTTCTTAGCAGACAAACACATTCCCCATCATTGAAGGCTTATGTTTCTGCTGCTCTATTATTCCTTAATTTACACACCCAGGCAACACTGGATCCATACCCAAGACGGAAAAGACACCCCCCTCCCAGCACCACTGGGTGGGGACAGAAAAGGAACTCCAGGAATCTACTGTGCCCAAAGACCTAGGTAGAGATGGTGCCCCTAGTGCTAGATGGATTGTCTGAAAAATCTGCACAACCAACGCTTTCCCTGTGCCCAGCTGGAAGCAAATGCTGCAGAAGAAGAGAAGGGGAGAGGAAGGAGGGTAGAAGGAAGAAGGAAGCAGGGGAAAGGAAAAAGCAGAGGAGGAGGAAGCAGGGGTAGGGTCTGCTCCAAAGACTCAGTTATCTGGGGAGGAGAGGCTAAGGAAATGACCCAGGTTAGCATTAATTCATGCTTTGGTTCTAATCATGGCTTATGGTGAGACATGAAAGGTAGAAAGAACTTCCTGGAAAAGGAAGACAAAGGCAATGGTCTTTGGAAGGGACCTGCCACGTAGGACTTCTGAGTCCCCAGTGAATCAGCAGGAATGGGAAGGGTGAGATGGGCAGGCTGGTGGGCCCCAACAGTGAGGCACAGCATACTTCAGAGAAGTCGTCAGACAAGGAGCAGCAGCCAAGACTGGAGTCATCAAGACCAGGGCAATTAAACTAGTGTTGGGTCAGCACCATGGACAGCCCCAAGGGCCCTGGTGCGAGGGTGGTGGAAGACCAGGAAGGACGAATCCTAGGCTTTGAAACTGCCTTGGCTAGAAGTGGGGTGGGGTGTGGGAGGGGATGAGGGGGATTGGGAGCACAATGGTGGGGGGGGCACAGACCATGGAAGTCCAGAGTTGAAGACCAGAAAGGACCAAGCTCAGGCTTTGATGCTACCTCGGCTGGAAGCTATAACTGAAGCAAGATCTGCAGGCAGCAAATCTAGCTGCTAATAAAGAATCTTGGGGAAAAAAAAACTTTCATTGACAAAGATGCTTTGCAAAGACAGCAATAAGCTAGCCATTACATCCTGTTACGTGGATTAGGAGAACGCTGGAGAATATTTGCATACCAATTACCATAAAATTGAAGTTCAATCTATACTGATTTTGTGTCTTGCCTTCGGAAAGTTGAGTTTCTGTCTACATCTGCTTGCTAAGAAGATTCACTTTCCAGTAATACTGAAAATTTTGTTGTAATAGTTTCAAAGTGTCAGCCTGTACGATTGAGATTGAAATTGTTGATTAGGAGAAGATGAACTGCTACACCGTGTGTAGTCAGAACGTGATCCCTGCAAGGATGTTTGTTTACCTTGATGATAATTAACCCACGGTTTGCCTCAGGGATCCAGCTAGTTGCAGTCAGCTCAAGCTGTTCAAGACACTGATGCATTCTTTAATATTGGGGATGCAATAAGGTGCACACATCCATACAAAGTAGGAGCACACAACAACTGGCCTGAGCATGTAGTTCACTCCTGGAAGGGCAGGTGAAGCTGCAGTGATCAACCCTGTGCCCTGTGGAACACTAAATCTCCTCCATGAAGCTTTGAATTTCACACACTGGTGTGGGGTTGTCTCTTTGTGGCTGCTACCTGACATTCCAGTGTTTGCTTTACATCTTAGCTGGGTTTTCAGCAAGTTCTTAATGTGACACTTCTTAACCCTTTCATGTTGCTATAACAAAATACCTTAGGCAGGGTAATTTATGAACAGCAGACGTTCAGTTTCCTTGTTCTGGAGCCTGGGAACAGTGTGAGGAAGGAACCAGCAGGCAGGTATCTGGTGGGACCCGTTCCTCTTCCGCATATACTCTCTCTCTCTCTTTTTAAGGGTTTTATTTATTTATTATTTATTTATTTATTTATGTGTATGTGGGTGTGTCTGCATGTATGTCTGCACACCACATGCATGCAGTGATTGTAGAAGTCAGAAGAGGGCATTGAATCTCCTGGAGCCGGAGTTACAGTTGTGAGATAACATGTGGGTGCTGGGAACTGAACCTGGGTACCCTGGAAGATCAGCCAGTGAGTGCTCTTAACCACTGAGTCATCTCTCTAGCCCTATCTTGGGCCTCTTTTATAATGACACTCACAAGGCTCAGCCTTCACAACTTTGTCCCCTCTAGGTGCCTCTCTCCTCTCACCACCGTGCAGAGGATGAAGTTTTAGCACATACAATTTGGAGGGACCCAAGCACTCATGTGCCTGGTTAACAGCATAAGGACTAGTCAAGTTTGTGAGCCTTTGTGGTGCCCAGCACAAAACAAGACTAGTTGTTAACAGATGGGTGAATGAAAAATTATCATTTGTGTCTTAATATCCCAGGAGAACAAAGTTCCTGAAGCTCAGAAGCTGCAGCATTAGCAGGGAGGCCAAGGGAGATGACCTGGAGGCTGAGGCGACTCCCTGGCTCACAGCTGGACGATGGGATTAGCCAGGGGGTCTGTGACACACAGCCTTAAACGGAACAAAGGACACAGTGTGGAAACAGCAGGGAAGGTGCCCAGTGAGGCCCCAGGGGCTCCTTCACTGCACAGGACAGGCCCAGCCAAGGCCAGATCACTCAGCCCTCTGCCAATGCATCTGCACTGTCCTCGAAGCCCTGTGGATATTCCAGGCTGGGCCACCTGCTCTCCTCCCTGCCTTCTTTGTAACTCAGCTTCTCTTTTGCGAGAGAGTCCCAAGCCTTGCTGAGGCAGCCTGGCCACCAGAGCACTTCCTTTCTCTTCCTTTACCATCCTTTGATGGTTTGGTTTTGTTTCCAGTTGATACTATTTTCTGATAACACAACCGTAAGCTGTACATCACTTAATGATGGCGCTCTGTTCTGAGAAGTGCCTCCGTGCATGATCCTGCTATTGTGTTCACGCCACAGTGTGGATTTATGCAAACTAGAATGGCTACAGCATCACCTGGAGATGGACTCTTGTGTCCGCTGCAGTTCCTGTAGTTTTGTCTGAGATGCTGTTAGCAGTGCTGGCTGTGGTTAGGGAAGAGAAGAAGAGGTGGACAGGGAGGGCAGGAGAAAAAGGGGAAGTGAAAGGAGAGGGAGGGAAAGAGAAAGGGAAACCAGAAAAGGAGGGGAAGAAGAAATAAGGGGAGGAAAAGATCAAGGAAAGCAAAGTGGGAAGAAAAGAAAGAGGAAGGAAGGAAGGAAGGAAGGGGGAGGGGATGAGGAAGGAAGGGAGGAAATGAATAAGGAAGGAGTGCACAGAGCCTGTACAGAGCCAGTGGGGTTTTCCTGCGAGTGGTACGATTTCTTGTCATAGCAGGTGACAATGCACTGTGGGGCCCAAAGGTCAATCTCATTCCACACACACCCTTGGGACTCACCTGGTCTGGGGCAGAGTCTCCTGAAATTCCCTGTGCTGGGCTGCACTGCAGGGCGGTTGGGTCCAGGCCTTCCACGTTTTATGCTTCCCAGATGACTCCAAGGTATGGCAGCATCTGGGGACCACGCTGCTGAGTACTCCCATCAGGAGCAGACTGTGGTCCTAGTGAGGGACAGCATCTGCTCAGAGCTATTAAAATGCAGATTCCCCACACCCCCAACTTGCTGACTCCAAGGCTGTCTCCAGGTATTTTAAAGGCGCGTTAACTCCGGAGGAGTTTATATGGGAAGCAATAAAAGTGGTAACAGCCATTTATGCAGCTCTTAAGCTCACTCCATATTGATGGGTATGAGGGACAGTAATTGGTTTTTGATAGGCATAGGGTCCTCTGGAGACTGCAGTGCCTTAGGTTGGGGGTGGTGGAGATAGGCCAGCCCAAAACACATGGAACATTCTAGAAACCAGAAAATAACCACTATCCCAGGCAAGTAATGCCTTACCTGCTCCTTGCTCCCCCTGTGTGTGTTGGATGAGACTGCGGGGGGGGGGGGGAGTAGAAGGAGTTTATATCAGGGGATGTCCTTGGGGAGCAGGTCTTGGGTCAGGGACAGAGACCAGGTTCTGCTTGATTGCTTCATGGGAGAGGACATTCTGAGCTTTAAGCTGATACAGTGTGTGTGTGTGGCTCCAAGTGGCTTGGGGCCTTGAACCGTCACCAGTTCAAGTGTAGTCAACATCACTGCTGCGACCAGCCAGACCAGAGAGATTAAGGTCCTGCTAGGAGCAGAGAGAGGAAGGACACTGACTTTGCGGTCACCTGCCCATGTGGCTGGTGGCCAGTGCGATACCAGCAGGCCAAGCAGAGTGAGGGAGCTCCAGGGCGTGGCCTCTTGGGTGAGGCTGAAGGGTTCCGGGTGAGGTGGAGAGTCTGGTAGGAGAAACTCCAGTGGCTGTAGCCCTGGGGACCCTGCAAGGCTTCAGCATCACACAAGGCTCCCTCTGCTGGACAGCCTGGGGCTGACAGCAGGGTGTGTCTGTGCCCATCCCACCTGCAGGGCGGTGGTAGAGAAGGGCATCATCAAAGACTCCATGATGGTCTATGTGACACTCGAGAGACATGCGAGGGTGGATGGTAGGTGTGCTCTGTTTTCTGGACTGCTCTCACCATGGTGGTGGCAGGGATGACGGAACCCCTTGGCCTTCCCTCCCTGCTTGTCTCTCTGCCTGTTTTTCTGCAACTCAGTTCCGTGTCAGTGGTATCAGAGATCCGTTTGTGACACTGGGAAGGTCGATTTCTGAACCCTTAATTCTTCTCATTGTTCTGCTCAGTTGTTCTAGATCTGCCATGCTGTCCTCCCTTTTCCTCCCCTTCCTCTGTGGTGGTCATCCTCCTCACCTGTGCACTCGGAAGCTGTCTGTGCCACTTGAAACAGACACTGACAATTCAGGGAGAACTGGCATATTCAAGTCTCAAAACTACCTATTTTGAAAAATGGGCCTTCCTCTGTCTGGTGTCATCTTGTTTTCCTCTTGGATTACTTCTGAGTGAGAAAGAAAAGCCCTGGGCCAAAGGAATATAAACCCTCAAGGTTTTTTAAAACCGTAACAATCTCGAGGCTGCAGAGACTGCTCAGCAGTAGAGAGCACTGGCTGCTTTTGCAGAAGACCTGGGTTCAGTTCCCAGCACCCACACTCATGATGGCTCACAACCACGTGTGACTCCAGTTTCAGGGGCTCTGATGCCCTCTTCTGGCCTTTGTGGCATTGAACTCATGTGGTACACAGACATAATACCTGCTGGCAAACACCAATTCACACGCATACAAAGAGATGACTCTAAAATAAAGGCAATAGGAGGCTGAGTCTTTCTTCACTTGGTAAGGGACAAGCATGTATACCTGAGCTTGAATCCCCAACACCCACGTAAAATCCAGGAACACTGAGCCTGTAATCTTGATGCTGGGGAGGTGGGAATCCTGGGTGCTTGCTGGCTAGCCAGTGTAGCCAAATGGCAAGCTCCAGGTTCTGTAAGAGACACTGTGGGCAACAGCATCCCTAGGCTGTGAAAGAATGATACCTGAGTATGAGGCCGAGAGTGAGTCAGGAAGCAGTGTTCCTCGAAGGCCTCCTACCCCAGCTCCTGCCCACCTTCCCTTCATGATGGGCTGTGACCTGTAATATGAAACTAACCATTTCCTCCCCATGCTGCTTTTGGTCATGGTGTGTGTCACAGCAACAGAAAGCAGACTGAGACATTATACTTTCCTTTTGTCCAGAGAAAGGCATAGCAAGAAGGCCCATTTAACTTCTATTGTTTATAATTTGGTCAGTGTGAGCAATTACAGCAATCTAGCCATTTGAGCATTTGGTTGGTATCTTTTACTTTATTTTATTGATGATAGGTTTTTGTTGTTGTTTCTTTTATTTCAACTGTGCTTGAGTATGGAACCCAGAGCCTTGACTATGCCACACAGGTGTCCTCCCATGGATCCACCACGCACCAGCCCGTCTTTCCTGTCCCTTCCATCCTCTGTCTCTACATTTATTACGTGCTTGTAGTAGACACTGTTTACTTGGATGGGATCTGGTTAGTTAAATATATCAGAATAATTATTCAGATTTCTGGCCAAGTGAAACAAAACAAAACAAAATTAAAAAGAAATTAACAGAAAACTGCCATTGTACAATTTCAAATAATGTGATTTTAGGAAGATTACACACCACACACACACACACACACACACACACACACTATGAATGAAGAGGAGACAGAGCCTAGAGAAGCACAGATTCGCAACAGAACCATCTGTCTGCAAACGGTTTAATAATAAGGGCATTTAAAGAGGCTCGTTTAGCTATAAATACCTGGGGGCCCCGGGCAAAGCTTTTCTTTTGGTGCCTTTTGCTCAAGTGAGTGACATTGTTCCCTTTGTCCTCTCCACCCTCCACCCAGAGCTGGCCACTTACACACTGCCCTGCATCTGACAGCTCATTACTATGTTTGTTTTGTTTAATGCTGGGGGGTGGTATGCAGTACGCCATGGCATGTTACATAGTGGGATCTGGGATACAAACTCGGATGCTCAAGCATGCTCTGCTGCCCTCTGAGATATCTGACTGTCCTGATTCTGGCAGTTTGGTCAGAAAGGCTCTTACAAAAAACAGCACACTGCGTCTCCTGACCGCTACCTCGTTTCAAAGTTTCCTGGTCTTTCTAAAGGATACTGAGAGGGGTCTCTCCCTCCCAGGATTCACCTGTTTTGTCTAGTCTCTCCAGTGGTCACCATGGCATATTCCTGTTTGCATTTGTATTTCTTGCTTGGCCTCTGTCTCCCCCAAATCCAATGTGAGACCTTGAGTTCCCTGAAAACAGGGTTCTTCTGGTTCTGTTCACAGGGGTAACCCCAATGCCTAGATCACACATGGTGAGGAGAACTCAAAATGATAAATGAATGAGCTGCTTGGGAGGAGAAGCCCAGTTGTGGTATAATGAAGAACACACCTGGTCTTTCTCTCTGGTTTCTGGCTTCAAAAACCCTGGGAATTTCTTGAGTGACAGAAGTGTTTGTTAAGTTAATTGGGTGCCTCCTGGTGACAGCCTCTTGGCTTCAGGGTAGCAGCCATCCTTAGAGAGCCCAGCACAGTTAGTGGGTGGAATCCTGAGCTATCTAACCTCTGGGAAGCGAGTCCAGTCCTGTGGCCAAAGATTGGAGACATCACAGAAACTTGGGTGCTGAGATGTCTCGGGACTTTCTGCTTGGCAGGTGTGATGGTTTATATTCTTGTCCGCCTGACAGGGTCTAGACTCACCTAAGAGACAGGCCTCTGGGCATGTCTGTGTGAAGTGTTCAGTTTGGGTTGAAGTGGGAAGACAAATGGGACCCCATGATATGCAGTCCCACCCTGAATAAAAAGGAGAAAGCTGGCTGAGCAACAACATTCCTCTCTCTCTGCTTCCTGACTGCGGACACACTGTGACCAACTGCCTCCCACCCCTCCCACCCCTCCCATCACACTTCCCTGCAGTGATGGACCACACCCTCAAGCTGTGAGCCAAAATGAACCCTGCATATCTTAAATGGATATTGTCACATATTATATCTGAGCACTGAAAGAAGTGACTAATGTAACAGATGGTGTGCCGGATTCTATGAGGCCGTTTTCCACCCACCCCCTCACCCCCCACCCCCCACCTCCACCCCTGTGTCTCTCCATTCACCCGGCCCTGACCTGTGGCCACTGTAGTAAGATACTAGTGGGAAGATCAGCTCCGGTGTCATAGTTTTTGTCAATTTGACACAAACCTAGACACACCTGGAAGCAGGGAACCTTCTTCCCTGCTTGAGGAATTACCGCCATCAGATTGGCTTAGAGGCAAAATCTGTGGGGGCATTGTCTTGATTAATGTGGGAGGACCCAGTCTACTGTGGGAAGTGCCCCTCACACCACAGGTGGTCCTAGGTTGTGTTAGAAAGCAGACTGAGCAAGTTCCTCCATGGCCTCTGCTTCAGTTCTTAGCTATAGGTTCCTGCCTTGAGTTCCTGCCTTGGTTTTCTTTGATGATAAACTGTAGTGAACCTAAGCTGAAATAAACCCTTTCCTCCCCAAGTTCCTTTGGGTCCGTGTTTTTTATCACAGCATGGGCATTTGAATGAGAATGGCCCCATAGGCTCAGTATTTGGATGCTTGATCCACAGTGGACAGAACTATTTGGAAAGGATTAGGAGGTGTGTTCTTGTCCCAGGAGGATTGTCACTTGGGGTGGGCTTTGAGGTTTCAAAAGCCCGATCCATTTTCCATTGTTTCCTTCTGGATCAGATGGGATTTCAGCTACTTCTCCAATGCCAATTCTGCCTGCTTGCTGCCATACTCCCTGCTGAAACTCCCTGATGATCATGGACTCACCCTCTGAAACTAAGAAAGTCCCAAATTAAATACTTTCTTCTATAAGTTTCTTTGGTTATAGTGTCTCTTGACAGCAGTAGGAAAGTAAGACACACAGTGACAGAGAATCAAACTAGAACCAGGGCCTCGGTGATATTCTAGCAAAGATAGGCCCTGAGGGAATGTGGGAGACTCTGAGATTATAGCTTACTGGTCAGAACCAGTTCTGAGAGCCAGCAGCCAGGATATGAGGCGTGTGCAGCCTTAAGGAGGCTTGA